ATATATATATATAGAATGTATACTAGGCATTAGTTCAAAACTAAAATCATTGTGTTTGACATTGATTTCGAATCCTCTTCAATCGGGGCGTTTGGTTTGCTACTGAAATATGGTCTGGCTTGCTTGCCAATTACATATGTATATCAGCAGAATGCCTTCCATTGTACAGTTTTTATATTTTTAACTGAAAAAAAGACTTCTAAGGCTTATTTCCATGCATACCAGTCTATTACGTCGCTTGGGAAAATACCTGGACCTGATAGATTTGCCAAAATAAGGTATGATCCATCGTAGTTCGAAAGTAATCTGCTCAGCAATTTCACTGTTTATAAGAAACTGTCGAACGAAAGATTTCATTCTGCACTCAATATAATAGATACATATGTATGTATGTATGTGTGTTCCTGTGATAAAATACTTCTATAACTGCAGTACATTAATATATACATATACATATTAGAATATATATTCCATGTTTGACTATCTGTATATTCGTATGAGTTCAAAAGCATTTTTCATGCATATCCCCATGACCTTATTGCAAATGTCCTTAAACCTTGCCTGCACAGAGAGATCAAGCACAAGTTGTTGTCGATGTGAAAAATAAAATAAAATTGGAAAAAATGAGGATGACATTGTTGTTGCTCTTATTGCAATTTCCGTAGCCATAGTAAATTAATGTTGCCTAGACTGCGTTTTTGTGTATGAGAGAAAATTTTATATTACATTTTGCATAAACTAATGGGTAGAGGAAATAAATTTCGGTGGCATTTTCGAAGAGTACTAGAAATTTAAGTTGAGCAGGAAATGTGCGCGGCGCAAAGCAGGTGGTGCTGCTACAGTGAATGTGATTGGGTAGTCGCAAGCTAGTATTACAGGCAAGCATGTGCACATACATACATAAGTACATATATGCTAAATATTATTTTCATGCATTCGGGCAATGAACATCATTAACTAGCTATTTACTCAGCCATGGAATTGTGAGCTATTAATTTAAAATACAGTGTGTTGATATGTGAAAACAATTGAAATTTTTGTGAAAATTTAAAATTAAAGTCAAAAATTTTTTCATATTGTGAATTTTGTGTAAAAGTAGTGAGTATGATATTAGTTTTCTTATTGTTTGAGAGTTTGCATATTTTGCTTTTCATTTTAATGGTTCGATGCTTTTGTGCAGCAGGTCATTTGCTAAATGAGCTGATGAAGTCAGTTTCTTAATTCTGAGAATAAAACTAGCTCTTAACTTGGCTTTTGTATGATCTACTTGCCTATAGGAGCATATTATAACTTTCATTTAATGTACGAGTATGTATGTACTTCTATACCTTTTTGGATAAGTGCCTCGGGTCCCATTTCGATGTCTAATATGCACAATAACCAAATAGCAATAGCAAACCCAATTTTTAGCGCGAAATTGCGCAAAAATAAGGAGAACATCGAAATTTTAGGAATTTCGAAAATTACACACATTTGCAAAGTCGCGCGAAAAGATCCAATTATATGCTCAGAAGCTATTTGAAATTCTCTAAAACATGCGTCTAAATTCAAGACCTGACCAATCGGTACCCACATTTCTTTTGCTAATAATTTTTGGCATGTATGTACTTACATTTACAAGTAAATTTTTTAAACTACTTAGTAGATATCGAGCCGATTATAGATTTTCTTTGGAAAACACTGTGTATATTGATGATGCATTAGGCTTTCGCCAATACCATTATGATTGTCATTACCATTAGCATTACCATTATTATTTGCATTGCCATTACAGCTACTATTGCTGTTAGCATTATCATTACTTTTACCATTATAATTAGCATTTCCATTATCACTACGATTGCTATTATCATTACAATTACTATTATCATTACAATTATAATATTATATAATATTATATTAATATAATAATTATTATTGCTACCAGTATTATTACCGGTATCAGTGCCATTATCATTACTCTTCCCATTACTATTGTCATTACTGTTACATTGCATTACCATTAACAATACCA